CCCCCCCCACAGCTGCCTCCCTGTAATGTCATAAGAGGAGCACGTCTGCCAACAGTCTGACGGTGATGTTGATCAAAGGTGTGAACAGTGTTACATGATGTCAATAACCTTTGAATGAGGGTAAAAATTTAAATTATTTTAAGTTTTCTCCACAAATGTGTCCACCTGATCAACATCTATTTACATTTAAAATGAGAAACTTCTATCTGTGCACGTGATCAGGGATTTTCATAAGCAATTACACCCTGATCACAGATTTAATATCAGAGCAGACACATCTAAATGCCCCGGCACCTGTAGCGTCGAAAGGAAACAGTAATTAGGATTTGCCCCCCCGAGGGGTCTGAGGATTTGTCAGGAGCATCATCAGCGGTGAAGTCAGGTCGCGACCCCATCACTGCACAGACTGACTAATTAGCTGAGAGCTGTTATGTCACTGATTGATTACATGCTCCGACTGTTGTTACGGGGACATGACTGAGGACACGGACCGTGGACAGACTGGACTGTGTCCCGGTCTGGGTTTGAGGACGTTTTTTTTTTTGACATCTGTCGTCGACGACATCGTATGGTGTCATCTAAACCGCAGTAACTGTGACTTTCATCGATGGACGTTCTTTCATTTTAAAGTTCTGAATCTTTGAGTCGTTGAAGCGGACTCTCTGCGGAGTCTTCGCGGCTCCTTACCTCCCCTGCAGGCCTGAATGAAGAACATCTTTGGTTTGTTCTGTAGCAGTGGACAGTGTGCGTTGTCAAAAGCCTTAAACACCCAGTCCAGCTGGAAACAATCACAGAAACCAGTCACTGGTCTGAAATATCCAATCATAAATATTGACATGACCTTAAATCATGACTGAGCCCAAACACCTCACAGGTTTTTTAATCTGTTCTAAATCATAAAGATAGTTTTTATCTCATCAACAAGAAAGAAAACAAATTTTCTGATTTTTTCTTTTCAATCAGAGTCGATTTGGATTTGGTCTAAACTTAGTCAGAACTGTTTGAATTTTATCAGTTTTATACGTTTATATTAGATTCAGTCCACTTCTCCATATTCTCCAGGAAAACCTCACAGGTGCTGCATACTTGGGAGGTGAACTTCCCATGATGCTTTGTGGTTTATCTGAAACAATCAGTTAACGTTGACAGTAACCAGACACACAGACCTGCAGCAGTTGTCCATCGGTGCCGTACACGGCGCCCTCCACTCCATGGGAAAGCAGACACACCACGCAGCTGTCCACCGCCCGGTGGTCCGGCCGTCGGCTGAAACTCTCAATGCACGACTTCATGGCCTGAAACCAGAAGAATGGAAGTAAAAATGCGGAGATGGACGAGAGACGAGAACCTGATGTTTATACGTCATCTGTTCATGACAAGCCCAACAAAAACGTGCGTTACCTCAGCGGTGAGGTCGACGTGAAGAGACACCAGGTAGTCCAGTTCTGTGAAGACCTTCCTGAGGACCTCGTTGTCCACCTCTCCTCCCTTCCTGGTATCAAGTTCGGTAGTAACAGAGGGGTCAAAGGTCACGTTACTGATCACTAAGGCGAGGCCCCGGGGTGATGAGGTCATGCTGTAAGCCTGGGCCGAGGACAGAGACAACGTCCATTAAAAGGAAAAGTGCAGGAATGAAGGAAGGAGGCTGTGAATGAGACATGTGTGTGCATTTACTGCCCCCTACTGACTCATTACCAGTAGAACCGTCAATCATTGTGTACTGTAGTACTTTCCTGAGTTGTATTTCTCCACCAGTTAAAGATTTAAAAAAGGAAAGATTTGGTGTGAATTTAAAAAAAGCGTCTTTTGTTTTTACCTTCTGGCAGTGAGAATGGTAAAAGTCTGCAGAGCACGGGAGCACGGGCGATTTGATGGGACTGTCGGCGTCCAGACTGAACTCCATGGACTCTACAGAAGACAAACAACAGACGGTTGGTCATAGACAGACCGGGCCGATTGTGAAACGAAATATCATGATATTCCAGTGAATCGATATTTTTTTACACCCTGGAAGAATTTATTTACAATGTATTTTATTTTTTAGTCATTTGATAATTAATTGTAATGTAATAATTGATTTCAGGAGATTCTGGAAAAAACTTTTAAAAGACATTTTAATCTCGTTTTTTTTTCTTTTTGTTCATTTTTTTATTTTACAATAATTGGAATTACATATAATTTTTGTATTAATGATAAAAGGAAAAATGATTATTTACGTGCAGTAAATGTGATGTGTTCTCAGAGTCAATGACTAAACAAATTTAAATATTCATTATTTCAATACTGACTGACATCATCGTGATTGTGATTTTTTTTTTCATAATCAACAACATGAAACCCAGTTTTTACGTGTTACAAATACAAACAACAGAACAACAGAAACCCTGACATGAATGATTTTTCCCGCCGGCACCGGGGGTGTGATCACACACTCTGTGTTTTATGGCTGCACATGAGTCAGCCTCGGGCGTGGTCTCCACACAGAACAGGAGACACCTACCTACACTCAGTGACAACATAATACAACAGAAAACTCACACAGGTCTGCCGCTCACAGCCGGACTGTTACAGCCGTAACTTTTTTTTTGCTAAAACCACGGTCGACTCTCAGGAGCCACAGAGTCGACAGGTGAATGATAAAAAAGACACACACAAACACAAGGCAGCGTGCTGTGATCTGAATGCAGATCACGCTGCACCAGTCTGACTCACCTTGCGTTCTTGCTCGTTTGGCTGCGGCTTCCTCCGGGGTGGAGAGCGGCAGAGAAGAGTCCGACAGCCTCTGAAATGAACCCAGACAGTGACATAAATGCTGAAATTCGATGGCGGTTTGTTTCTGCTCGTCTCTGCTTCCACTCGTATCATTTATCAGAGTGTTTTGACTCAGACTGTCCCTGTGGATGACGCCCAGGTGTCTCAACACAGCCTGATGCTCTTCACTATCACAGTTCTAAAGTTTGATTTTCTCCAGGTGAAAAAAAACAACAAAAAACCAGCACAGACCATCAGTAACAATGTAACTATGCAAAGAGAAGAAGATAAGAAGATAATAATTGCTAAAAAAAAACATCAAAAGAGAAAATAATTGATTAAAAAAAATCCAAATGTAACAATTAGTAGAACATTCACTTTTTGAGACTGTAAAACTATAAAAAAAGATAATAATAGATAGATAATATTTTTAAAAAAAATTAAATTAACCAACAAAATAATCTATCGAAAAGTCACGTAAGGAAAAATATTACAGTTATTACTTACTAGAAAATCAATATTTACCAATTTAGCAAAAATAATATTGATTACAATCCTTTAAATTCAGTGTATTTTAAATTACGGTGAATAAAAATGCGACTGACACCATTAATGTCAACAGTTATCCTGACGAAACCTGGTCAAACGGTGTAAATTCTGTGAGCCGTGACGTGACACCTGATGTTAACATTTCCATCTACCTTCATGTGTCTCTCCACACCATCTCTTTCTGGACACTGTGTGAGCATGTCACTCAGAAACTGCTGATTCGTTTCTCGCAGAGCTGCACAGAAGCAGCTGAAGGCTCCGGGCCCCCGCTTCGGTAAGATCTGGAGCAAATGCCAGCTCCTCTTCTGTGACGTTGGTTCAGCCTGGAAGAGAAGGAAGTAGATCAGAAAATCAGGTTCAGCTAACAAGATGACATGGTGTGATGGTAATTCCACGATGATCAAACTGTGGAAACCTGGAATTTCACGTCACAATCTCAACATATTTACTTTACACAGCAGAAACAAATGTGTCATCATTTGAACAACACTTTTTTTGTTTGGATTCAGATTATTATCTTCTTAAATTTACATAAATATATCATAGTGTCAAGTGACATGAATGATAATTTTCTCAATATTACATCATGAAATTTCAGGTTTCTAAGTCTGTGAGAAAGATAATTACAGCAAATATACTAGGAAATCACATTAGGTGATATTTGTGATATTTAGAAGGTGATTTAAGGAATAATTTCCATGAATTAATTCCAGACATTATACATTAAAAATACATTTTATCCACAATGAGCTTCAAAGCTAATGTTACATAATTCATTACAAACCTCTAATAAATAATGTTAACCTTGTCCCTCCATTATATCCATTATGTCTTACAATTAATTACACAATTTCTAAACTCCTGCTGACGCCCATCAAACCATCTGGCGAGCCATATGTTGGACCACCCTGTTATAGAGACAGTAACGCTGTCCAAAAGACAGGGGACTGAGGCAGAGGTGGAGACAGTAACGCTGTCCAAAAGACAGGAGACTGAGGTGGAGGGGACAGGGCAATAAATAAATCGTCCTACCATGATGCTCTCTGCCATGTTCCCGGTGAGAATGTCCTCAGCCTGCAGCAGCATGAGCAGCATCTCGTCCACCATCAGGTGTTTGAGCAGAGAGGCCGATCTTCTCTTCAGAGTCTGACGGTCCCGCTCCAGCATCCCGCACTCCAACATCTTACCTTGACACACACACACACACACACAGTGGACATGGGGACAAGTCACGTGACGCATGGCCTTCGATGACAACAGGGGGAGACAGGTTGAAGCATCAAGTCCTCTCTCGATAACATTCTCTCTGCTCCACTGTAACAGTATTTGTAGTAGTTTATGGACTATCGCGCTCGCGTGTGTTTATATTTACTCGCGTGTACAGTCAGCATCACGACCCCCCCAAAAAAACGCTTAAAGTGTAGTTTTTACTGTTGTTACCAAGTTTTTGCTACAGCTGCAGGTAAAAGTAATGGCTAAATACCGATGCTAACCTGCTAGCCCGTGCTAACCTTCACTCGTGTTTACCTTTTGTTAAAAACAATAAAGTGTGTTTTTCCTGCTCCGTTTTCTTACCGTTTTTCTGATTCTGCAGCCAAACACGAAAACGTCCAGACCCGGACAGTAACAGTCGGCGTGTCTTTTACTATTTCACATAAATTGACATCGCCTCTTTACACCGCGAAACAACTTCCGCGCCTACTAGGAATGGACAATCAAAAAGGAGGCGGGGATTGTGCTCAACTAGACCAATGACAGCAGACAACGAGGGAACTGACGTGTGGATTAACCAATAGACTGGCTTCTTTGAGGTAGCTACCTCCTACAGTAAAAAAAATCAGCAAAACAAATTTAATACGAGTATTTGAAATTGAAACAACAAATGTTAATTATTATTAGAAAACCCGACAAACAGAAAGAAAACCGTGTCTAAACTTCACCTCAGCAAGTGTTCAGGGAGAGGACAAGTTCATTTGAAATACATAGTTGTAAATGTAAAACATTTGATTTATCATTACCGATTTTGTAAATGTTTAAGTTGGTTGAAACTAATAATGAAGTAAAAGATTTGTATTCAACGTGAGAATTTTTTTTTTTTAAATATAGTTTTTTGAACGTTTTACATAGTGGGCCTGTGTGATCTTGTCTGCTTAGACAAAATGACTTCAACATAACTCAAAGTCAAATTAAAGGTCAAAATAATTGGACATTTGAGTGTTCAGCCTTTTGTTGAATTACACAAAAGATCAATAGTGTTTAATTTTTTTAACATATTCTTAAATTAAAACTACAGCAAAGTTTATTTAGTACCAAATACCAACACTAAAAATCTATCTGTGGACTGAAAAGGTCCAGTTTTACTGAACTAAATGATATTATCAATAAACAAAGCCATTAATGTCCATCTTAAATGACTTGTTTTTCCAGTTGATAAGAAAGAAATAATATGATTGGTTTCACTTCCTACCCCCCCCCCCTCCCGATCCCCTCCCCCCTCACCCTCCTCCACCCTCACCCTCCCTCTGTTTGTGTCTTTCTTCACTTCCCAGGCTGCTTCAGCCTCCCCTGCTGCCTGTTTCCTCACCCTCACTGTGTGGGCTGTTAATAATTGATGCTTTTCACCGACTCAAAGGGTAACTGCCTGAACGTTTCTGACTTTATTTATATCATTTTTAAAATTTCTTTTCAGCTCCGTCTGTCTGTGACACCGCAGCATGTGTCGGCCGTACGTGACGCCGACGATGCAGCCTGACGGCGTCTGCTGCCCGTGCTGTTGTGATGGACTGGACACCTGAGACCAGGAGTGGGTTAAGGCTGCCTGTCAGCCTGGCTCAGAGCACAACAGTGGGCAGGAAGGGGAAGCTTAAATGAGGGGAAGGCAGGGGGGCAGGAGGGCAGGGGGGGGGCAGGGTAGAGGAGGAGTGGCAGAATGATAGAGTGAGTTAATTCAACCACAGCCAACCCTGATTGACTTAGCAACAAACTGACATGTCACACTGACTCTGACACCACAGCCACGGAACGGGAGACGAGAAATAACATGTCCTTCACCAGGAAGAGAAGTTTCACTTTTGGGGCATATGGAGGGTGAGTATGCACGTGTATATATACTAGAAATATATATTTAATATATATATATATATATTTAATATGAAAAAACACGCGCAGCATGTCATGTCTGTACAACTCCTTGTAATTCTGATTCCTTCGTACATGTTACTCGGTGAGCACTTCTCATTTTACGTACTTTCACTCTACTTGTTGACAGTGTGGACAGATTCTCGTGCGGGGATGAGAAGAGGTGAGAAATAGTTATTATTTACTTCATTCAATCATTTATTCCTTGATGCAGGGAAACACTGAGTTGCCTTTATTGTTGCTGTTGTTGCTGTTGTTGCGTACGATAACCTGTTGCCGCAGCAGAGCGCAGCCTGCAGGAGACAACATCCTGGACATCCTGGACTCTCCTGCCGGGGACAGCCGATCCGTCCAGTCTGACGGCGGTAACCTGAAGGTGATAAATCCGCTGTGATCCACTGAGGTCCACCTCAAGTGTTCTGACGATCCACTGAGGTCCACCTCAAGTGTTCCGACGTTGTTGTTGTCGTGTGTGTGTGACTCATCCTGTTCCTCTTCTTCTCTGCGTCTCCTCCTCCGTCAGGAGACAGAGCTGTTTGAAATCATCGAGAAGCTGCAGGTGAGTCGCTGCGTGTTTGGTCCCGTCCTCCGCAGTTTTTTTGGTGTCTGTTGATGTCGGACGGTTCTGATCGTCAATGCCGCTCTCGTCCATCAGGGCAGTCGGATCAACGAGCAGCGCTGTGAGTTCCCTCTCCCTCTGAAGGTTAGTCTGGTTCCCGGTCGGCCTGAGTTGACCCCTGACCTTTTCACGATCATCCAAATGTTGTTCCCCATAACAACAACACAAGTCCGCGCCTCATCAGTGTTGTTTCTGTTTCAGTCCCAGTTTTTGACAGCAGGGGGAGGTTGGCCGCTCATTGTCCCGTCAGAGACTGGGGGCTACTGGATACAGCCCCCGCTGGATGGGGGGCTCGTTAGTGTGAGCCCCACCTCTCCAGGCCAAAGCCCCGATCTGGACAACTACGACATAATGGAAAGAGACAGAGAGGCCACAGTCTACAGACAGGTCTTCTGCACACGGGTACGTAGACCTGGTGGACAAACTCTGGTTCCAATGACGAACCAGAAAAAAAAGGATGTTAGGAGCCTGGACCTCAGTGTTCGTTCCTTAATTTAAGTCAGACTCTCCTACGGACCACCAGCTGGTGTCCAAGTACCACATACCCTAGTTTGAGAACCGCTGTAAATGTTTGTAAATGTCTGACGGGGTCGCCTGTCTTTTCCAGTACCATCATTCATTCACAGCCATCGATCCATCGCTGGGTCCACTGGTTCTCTCAGTGTGTCTGGAGGAGGAGGAGAAGAAGCTGCGGCTGATTCTAAGGTCAAAGTTCCAGGATGTTTTCATTTGGTGCAAATCAACTGTAGTGAAACAATAATAAAAAAAAATCCAACAAAACCAAGTCAGAGTCACTGCTCCTCATATGAAAAAAGTCCAAATTTGAATCTGATGAAATCACAGGTATCTGCAAAACCAAGTCAGAGTCACTGCTCCTCGAATAAAAAAATCAAAATTTGAATCTAATAAATCACAGGTATCAATGGATTAGTAAAAAAAAAAAAACACATTTTCACATTGGTATTTCAAATTTGCAAATTTCAGTCGATAATTTCCCGATGTTAAACTAAGGCAGAAAATGTAGATGTGCTGTTGTAACTGTTCTATTCTTCTGTCCCCAGATTAAAGGAATCCTCTCTTCATGGACATTTCTCTCTGTGTCTGTTCCCTGTCATCCCCTCGTCTGTTGAGTTGGCAAAGGTACCTCAAATTCACCAAGGCAGTGATTTGACAAGATGCCAAGAAACATTCCCAGTTTCCAAGATATTTGCTGTATTTGTGTACAATGAAGTAATACTTCAACTGGTACTTTTTTTAAATTCTCAAACCACACACACTCACACAATACGATTCTCTTCCACAGGTCACAGTTTGAGTCAACTGGTTTAGAACATGTAAAACATGTGTCAAACTCAAGGCCCGGGGGACAAACGTGGCCCACCAAGTTTTTTGCATTTTTTTTTTTACAATAAATAATAATCAATTGTGGAAACATTTATTAATACGTTAAGGAGTCGTTACATTTACACAGTCTGTAAAAGTTTATTGAGTTCAGGGAATTCTAAAAAAAATCTTTCCCCCCCAGATGCTCTGTGACAAAGTGACCGTCTCAAAGTTTGAACCCGTCAGTTTTCTCAAGGTAGAGTCCTACTGACATGTTTAACACGAGTCAATGAAAAAATACGTTACATTTTTTCTTCTCTGAATTTCAAGGCTCCAGAGCTCATAACAGCATTTGACGAACACCGGGTGTCGCTAAACTTCAAGTTTGGAATCTTGTACCAACGGGAAGGCCAGGTAAGAGTAAACACTTTGTTTACATGTTGATTCAAATCAACACAACACGGCGCCGCACTCTAACCACCCTTCATCAGACGCCATCTGTCTGTCTGTAGCTCAGTGAGGAGGAGATCCTGAGCAACAACCACGAGAGCGACGACTTCAAGGAGTTCCTCTCCATTCTGGGTGAAACAGTTCTGCTGCAGGGCTTCACCAGGTGAAGAACCGAGTTCTAACTGCTGTCCTTCAGGCAGACAGAAGAGCAGATTCATTTTCATCCTGATGCTCCTTCGTTAGGTTCAGGGGAGGGCTGGACGTGTCACACGGCCAGACAGGAAGTGAAGCCGTTTTCACTTCGTTTCAGGGAAGAGAAATCATGTTCCATGTCGCAACCAAGCTGCCTTTCACAGAGGGCGACCCACAGCAGGTTGTCACCAGGGGGATGGGGGGGTGGGGTGGAGGGTGTGATCCCTTTGACATCACTTTTCAAACAATCACTGATTTTTTTTTTTTTCATCAGTTACAGAGAAAAAGGCACATCGGTAACGACATCGTCGCTCTGATCTACCAGGAGGGACAAACTCCGTTCTTCTCTGACATCATCAAGTCTCAGTTCCTGCACTGTTTCCTGGTGGTGAGGAGGATTCAGTCGGAGGAGGACGCAGGTGGAGCTGCATATCAGGTGACTGGAGACCAGACATGTGGTTGTGGGTTCCTGGTCCCGGTCACCAAGTAGGTCCTTAGGACATGTCTAACCTTCAGATATTTTTTTTTTGTTTTTAAATGGGTCTTGGAACAATTAATGAACACGATTCTACCCTCTAGTGGAAACTCAATGTATTAAAATTCATTAAAATCAAGGATGGAGACTTGATTTAAAAATTTTTTTTAAAATTCCCTAGGTGTCAGTCACAGCCAGGGACGATGTTCCTCCGTTTGGTCCAGTCATCCCAGATCCTCCGGTCTTCACTGATGTAAGGGGAAAAAAAATAAAAATAAAACTACCTTACTGTTTCCTAACACAAACTAATGTTTCACAAAGGGAGTGTTTTTTTTTACTTTTAACAATTCATAAGAAAAATACATTACATAACATTTGACAAAAATAATAATAATAAATATAGCAGGGGTCTTAAAAATGTGGCTCGCAGGCCAGAATCGACCCACCAGAAGGTACTGAAAATTTAAATTAAATTAATTTTTCCAGTTACCTGTGAGTAAATATTTTGTCATTTTGCAGATTTAAGATCCATTTGCATTACTTTTTCTAATTAATAATTAAAATAAATATTTAATTTTCATAATACAATGTACTTTTATTATTTAAACGATGGGAAATTATTAATGTTGTTTCCAGCCGTCCCTCCTGCGACAGTTTCTTCTGACCAAACTCATCAATGCAGAGATTTCCTGCTATAAAGCCGAGTGTTTCAGCAGGTTAGAGGTACAGAAGTGAATCATTTTATATTTTATATCTCACTTGTTTATTATACAATTTTAAATTCTTGTCCTGTCTTAAATCCTTCTCTAGCTCCGGACACGCTCGTTGCTCCTGGAGACTCTGCAGGCTGAACTCTCCACGCGCTCCCAGTGCATGATGGGAGACTCGTCACTGTCTGCTCTGTCCTGCTCTGACAGCGTACGTGCAGCGTCTGAAGGGAGCGGAGGCTTCATTGAGAATTTCAAGGTGAATTTCACGCGCTCTCTTTGTTAAAGTTAAACAAAAACAACTGCACTGATTATGTTGAACTTTTCTCATTAATCTTTGTAGAGAGCGATCAGAGTACGCAGCCATTCTTTGGACATGCTGGGGGCACCCAAGAAGATGAGTGGGGGTGCGCCGCAGAAGCCAAAGGTACGAAGAAAAAGATTATCATTAGATAAAGGTGGTTGGACTAAACCCAAACCTGTCATATTCATATTGTTGAACTTTCCTCACAGACACAGAAAGATGGAGAAAGGTAAGACCTCTGAGCAGGTGAAGAACTATTTCAGTAAGTGACTGGAAAATGAGATGATTCTCATCAAACGGTACTGTTTTCTCTGGTTTACAGTGACAAATCTCCAGGAAGTCTACCTGAAAGTCTGGGTTCCACTGAAGTCAAAGATCAAGCAAGTCCTCAAGAGGAGCCGTAGAAAGACATCTGTAGATTTTGTAGATTTTTGTAGATGTTACACAAGAACAAGTGTCAGCCTTTAAAAATAAATTATATTATATTTTAAAAATATAGTGACGATGGTAGTGATGATTAAATCAATGATTGACTTGTAAACAGTTGTTATTCTGCGTTAAATATGAGAATAAACTCTAAAATCGTCTGCTTTTACTCCTTTCTTGTTAGACATGATTGAATATAATTATTGAAATATGACTTTAAAATAATTAACATCTCACATGTGTTAATACAGTGCGAAATTGAATACAAATAAATAAATACTTTTATAATAAATAAAATCAATACTTAATTTAAACTTTTTAAACCAGATTTAACCGCACTAGGAAGTGCAACTTTACATCGCTGTAACACTCCAGTCCAGTAGGTGGTGCAGTACACCAGTACGCCGTGTTTTGTTTGTTTTTTTTTTCAATAATAATCAGAAGAAACATTGTCTTGAAGGCTTCTAATGCTAATTGTGGCTACTATTAATAAACAGAATATATAAACTAAAACCTAACCTGATTGTGTTTGATTTAATAAAATAATAGAACAGACTTTAGGCTCATCTGACTTGACAATAAAACCGCTGGAGAACGGACTCCGAGCACCTCTGTGTCAAGTTAGCCAAACAACTTCGGATAAACATCAGAACTATAATTATATCCGGGTCCTTTATGAACTACGTGAACTTCGGACATTAAACAAAAGTGTTGAGCAAAAGTAACAGAACAAGATGACCTCCAGAAAGGTGATAGAGCTCTTCTACGATGTGGTTTCTCCGTACTCCTGGCTTAGCTTTGAGGTTTGTACATTTTCATAAAAAGTCACCTTCACTGTCACGATCACGACGACGGAAATAAGGGTCATAACAAGTGAGAAGAAAACACGAAATTACAAGGATAAAGTCGTAACTTTATGAACATAAGATCGTTTATTACGTTTGTGACAATAAAGTCGTAATATTTCCTAATGAATGTAATACGAGTGGAAGTGTCGTAAAGAAAAATACAACTTCCCAGTTAAACAGATCTAACCGTAAAGTATACAGTAATGTCACGATACTTAAATCCTCGTTAAAATATTACTGTGGCCTCGTTATTTTCTTGCTTGAAATATTCACTCAAATAGAGTTCACTCAAATTTCCGGGTTCTTCAAACCACCAGAAGGTACTGTATGTTTCAGAAGGTGACTTTAGAAATTGTCGAAATAAATAGAAAACATTGACAGCAATTTTAAGGAATTTTAATTTTAATTCATTTATTTATATTTAAATTAAATTTCCAGTTACCTGTGAGTAAATATTTTGTCATTTTGCAGATATAAGATTCAAACATGTACATGAACTTTATTATCGTAGATGTACAACTTCATTCCCATAATGTTTCAATTTTTTCCTATAAATTTCCAATTTACATATTATATTATGAGGTTATTTTCGTGAATTTACGACTTTTTTTCTTTAGTTGAGTGTCTGCGAAAGTACTGCAGGCGGGCTATTATGAGGTTATTTTCGTGAATTTACAACTTTTTTTAGTACTGCAGGCGTTGTAAAAAACTATCTAGTCCTAATATGTAATAGCATCACAGATTAAAAACAAACTTAAACCCTGATCATCTCTTTTTTGCAGGTCATGTGTCGTTACAGAAACGTGTGGAACGTAGACGTCAAACTACGTCCTGCCTTACTGGGTGGAGTCATGCAGGGAGCAGGTCACACCAGACTCACTGTAAATCAGTGAATGGTCAGCTTTTTTTCTACTGCTCCAACGTATGTCCTGCTTATCTGCCCTGACAGACAACAAGCCTCCTGCCACGGTTCCAAACAAAGCTAATTATATGGTCAAAGATGTGCAACGCCTGGCAACATATTTTGATGTTCCAATGACCTTTCCTTCTGACCCCTTTGAGGTCATGTTCCGAAAAGGTACATACGGTTTAAACATCAGGAAGTGGAAGAACGTTCAAGAAGTTGTTTGAGATGTGACTTTCAAGATACTTCAGACCAATGCAGGAAAATAGTTTTTTTTTTGCTGTTATAATAAAAGCTAACTTGAAAACTCTTCTGCTACCATCACACATCTTTTTTTTTTTTTTTTGCCGTTATAATAAAAGCTAAACTCTTCTGCTACCATCACACATTACTGGCACAAATTTAGAAAATCACCTGAGAGTTAGTTTGAAGAAAATCATACACAGTTTCTGCCTTGATTTTCCAGGTAGCTTGTCCGCAATGCGGTTTTTGACAGCAGTACAAGAGCAGGAGAAGGATGGAGACAAAAAGGTGGAGCAGGTGTCCAGGGAGCTGTGGATGAGAATCTGGAATCGGGATAAAGACATCACTGAACCGGCATCTCTCTCTGAGGTACCGGGACTCAAAGAGCCTGTTAGCATTTAGCAAATTTCCTGAAGTGTATTAGCCAGAATCTAAATATATACGATATGTATCATAATGCACAGACAGTGATACGATATATTGAGATACTATAGACACGACAATACATTGAGGGTTTTTTTCCACCAATGTAACTGTAGTCAAAGTTCCATCTGATCATCAGGTTACTAACATTGGAACTTTCATCCCTAGTGTTTTTTTTCGTATGTCGTTGAAACATGGTCTTTTTATTCCAGGCAGCCAAGTCGGCAGGTCTGTCCGATGGTGAAATTAAGGACCTGCTGGAGAGTTACACCTCAAAGAAGATCAAAGACAAACTGAAAAACTCAACTCAGGAGGCTCTTGACAACGGGGTGAGCTTTTCTCTTCGTCTGAACAGAGAGACCAGAGATATAGAGCATTAAAAACCAAATCTCTCCTCATTCTTCCTCACAGGCCTTTGGTTTCCCAATGTTCGTGTGTCACGTTGATGGGAAGCCAGAGATGTTTTTTGGATCTGACAGATTTGAGCTCATGGCTCACTGCATTGGTGAGACTGTTTTCTTTTTATGTTTGTTTTTTGTGTGTAGCTCTGTATCTGCTTAGCAGGCTGATATCTGTACCTCCCGCTCTCTGTGTTTCAGGAGAGAAGTGGCTGGGACCTCAGCCTCACAAGTCCAAACTGTGAGAAAACGACATCAAGACTCAAGAATCCATCTTTATTTTTCATTTTCATATGCGTAAAAAGGAACTTGTTCTCATCTTTAACACTGTCACTGTCAAAATACATCCTCATATATACTAGGGTACAACATGTAACATGCATATGTCTTGGTTTTGGTGAGCTTATTAAAACGGATTAATTCTCAAACGACAAATTGTCAGTGTTTCTTCCCTGAAAGAATTTCTTAAACCCTAATTGTTGGTTTTCACTATACTAAAGTAGTGTTATTAGTTCTTAGTCCACACAAATGGGAAAACAATTTAAATTAAATCCCCATTCGTTCCCACACCATTATTATAGCCATATATGACGACGGTCTTTAATTCAAATAATTGTTTGACAACTGAATCAATGAAGACATACAAGTGAAGTTAAAAGGCAAAATGTTTATTTTTCATAGCTGTACTGTATTTTTCTATGTTTACTACATTCGCCGCGTACAACCTAAAAGTACAAAATTCAACATTTGTAGTCTGTTGTGGCCTAACGGACTACAGTACACGGTTTGTTTACACGGGACTGTTGTAGCTAACGTTAGCTCTGGTGTCTGTACCGGGACTGTTGTTGCTAACGTTAGGTCCGGTGTCGTGACCAGGACTGTTGTAGCTAACGTTTGCTCTTGTGTCACTACCTGGACTGTTGTAGCTAACCTTAGCTCTGGTGTCTGTACCGGGACTGTTGTTGCTAACGTTAGCGTGTTTTTATGCGCTCAACATGTTTTACATCGCTGTACATGTACATTGGTAAGAAAAGTCACTCAACATAATTATTTAATCCAAGCTTCAACTGAGAAGTAAAAAAACTTCTACTCAACAAGCAACCGCTCTGGTCCAAGTCTCCTGTTGTTCGCTGACGTCACTCGATGCAGTTTGTTCATCTTCTTTGTTGCTGAAACCCCCCAGAACGTCAGGTACGCTACCGCCACCTGCGGGCTTGACTGTGTGACTGCCTCAGTGTTCACGCTCTGACAGAGACGGAGGCTGAGTAAGATGTGATTAAACTCGTTACACATTATCTTTAGAAGTGGAATTATAGAAGAGGTTCTTTAATGTAGGTATAATCAATAAAAATATTTGAAAAAAGATCCAAATAATTATTTTGTCCCTATGTGGATTATACTTGTTCACATACTTAATCAAGGATCTCCATATATTTATGTATGAAAACAACAATAATAATAATTTTGATTGTATTTATTAGGTTCTTCCTGTGACTTTACATTTTCTTTATAATCGTTGTTTCAACCCTTAAAACTAGTTAAAGACTTTGTACCAATTCTGTACCAAAAAAGTAAAACACAGAGGACAAGAGCTCGACAGGGAGTATGACGTGGTATATATATTATATTTTATCAGTAACAAAGACAATACAATGAGGAAAATGTAATATAAAAAAATAATACTCCAGTGTATTTGGTCTGAGATTGTTTGACTCTCTGGAGGTATGTTTATTTTTATTACTCAACCTAGAAGCAAAGGCAGTTTTTTTAATATATATATATAGCAACCTAAATACTCCAGAGAGTGCAAATCCTGTCATTCAGGTTCCTGGGCAATGACAACCAAACTAAACCAGGACAGGAGACTAAAAACGACTCGGAGCTGCTGGACCAGTTTTCTTTTTTTTTTTTTAAACAAAGAAGGATTTGGGGGGGGGGATGGGGGGCAAAGGGGCATGGTTTTAAGTAGCTGAAATGTGTGTGTCTGAGAAATGACAGATGAGTGCTGTCGTCAGGCAGAGAACCACAGAACCAGTGAGCTTCAACATCCACCAGAACCAGGAGTCTGGTGCATCATTTCATGATCAGGAAAGAAGAGGGAGTTTGAGAAGAGGAGGAGGAGAAAGGGACACTGAAGGAGCAGGTGTAGAGGGTGGAGTTGAACGTAGGCAAACAGAGAGAGCTGCACATTGATCCCCTGAGACTCTACGTACGTGGAACAAAACAAAACAATGAGGAGCTGAAGAACAACAACAGAACCCTGACGACACTCAGTCTGAGGAAGTGTGAGAAGAGAAGGCGGCTGCATGAGGTTGAGTGGATCATGAACCGACTGTGACGGAGGTGAACTGAACACAGAGGTTTAGGAGCTCAGGTAAGATTCTGTTTACGACACGTCACACTTTTTTTTTTTTTTTTTTACAGTCTGATTTGATTAGAAACCATAAAAGACGGAAGTGCGGTGGAGTGAGCTGTGGTCGTGCATCAGAGGAAAATCTCTGAGTTTCTCACTCCCTCCTGAATATTACTGTAAAAGATTCATGAGTTCTGTGTTGTCGTTGCTAGATTCATATTCTAGATGTAATTTCCAAAGTGTGCCAGTGCTGTTTGACATTTGTGTTTGCCCTGTGGGTGTGTGTGTGTGTGTGGTGCAACACTGGATTTAATGTGTGTAAAAAATGCAGAGGAACAGGTCGAGACAGTGAGGATCACATGTGCTGTAGAAAGATGACGCCAGGTCAACGTGTCGCTCCACCGTTTGCTATTTATATCTATGGAAATTGTGTGAATCTGCCTTTAACTGACACCAACTCCACATCATAGATCTGCGTCAGTCAGAACACAAACACATGTGTGTGTCGTCTATACCTGGTGTGTTTACTGTTTTGTGATAGGATGTCTGACGTAATACAACTTCAACTCCAGGATGGACTAACAACAGCCTGGACAAGGACAGGTCGAAAAGTTCGAAGACAAATATTATTTCTTGACATGAATAACACAGTTTTTTTCCTTTTCCCTCTCATCTCGTCCTAAAGCCTAAACCTAAAATACAGGTTTGTCCGTGTGGGAGAAGATAGTGAGCTCTGAAAAAAAAAAAACCCCAGCTGATTATTATGATATCAATTCAGTGCAGTTTGAGTCTGTTGTTTTTACATATTTTCCAGGAAAGGTCCAGTGTTTATCTGACCTCCATGTTTCAGTCTGCTCTCTTCTTCACTGGTGTTTCCATATTAGTAACATTCTGGAGGATTTGTCTTTGACAAAAACAAACAAACAAGCAAACAAACAAACAAAACTGTGCTAGAAAAAAGATTTCTAGCAGAGGAAAACTTCCTGCTTCTTAGTTCTGTCAGCAATAATTAGTTAAGTGTCGAGTCCATGAGAAAATGTCGTACAGGACAATGGAAGTATATGGTATTGCTACATGTGATGTAATGTATCACACTGTATCGTATCATATTGTTCTCTATCACTGCACTGCAACAAGAACATTCAAACCCATAGATTTCAATTCAATGGAAACTAAAAAAGCCGACTTCCATTTCCTGTTCCTTTTCAGCTCGGTCGTCGAGATGTCTTCGTCATCACAGTCAGACTATCTCTGCAGCCACGGAGACACCTTATGTGGTGAGTTGGATTCTAACCCCCGGCACTGGCTACTGTATAAGTCAACAACCTGTTCATCCGAGCCGGGAGACGAACAAACATAGCAGCACGTGTTGTACAAACAGCAGCTAACCACAGAGCCGCCACTTCACTCTCCGCCTCTGTTCCTGTTGGCAGAGATCCGTGTCTACGAGCAGGAGGTGATCATCGTGCCCGTCCTGCTGCTGTCCGGCTTCCTGGTCACTCTCGTCTTCATATTGCTGCTTCACTTTTGTCCAGAGAGAGTGGACAAAATCAGACCGAGGACCTCAAAAGTGACCACCAGGAGGATACTGCACGGTATAGACGGTAAGACAGAAGAGCAGACTCGACATTCAAGCGGTGGTCGTTGATCCAGCAGCAAAAAAGTTGAATAAAAGAAAAAAAAATACTGTCCCTTAGAGCTATTTCTTTTAACCAAAAATATATTTGCATTAAAATTTGTTTGGTTTTTGGGCCCTGCCGTCAATAACTCTGGACCTTTCATGGGGCGTGACCCCCACTTTTAAGTACAATCATAATTTTCAAATTAAAAAATGATTTTCATAGTGTTGCAATACAATTCATCTTTTTTTTTGAAACAAAACATTTTTGTTGAATTTTCTTCCTCTCTCTCTCCACCTTCAGCTCCACCAGGTATCAACGTCTTTGAACATGAAAGTATCGCCTTGGACATGTCCAACTCCTACTCCACCTTCAGCCCCCCCAACACCTATTCCTCAAAGAGCCTCTCCATGTCAATGAGGTCATCGGCCCCTCCCCCCGGCTTCCCCCCGGAGGCCTACACACCCAGTTTCAACCCCGTCGTCCAGCCCAGAGAGTTGCCCCGCCAACGGTTGCCCGAGTCCTTCAACCAAGTCAGTCCCCTGCCGGCGGACTTCAGCCTGCGCACCAACTCCTGCGTGTCCCTTCACCGGGCATGGATGGAAAACAGGAACGTGGTTCTGCGTGTGCTGAAAGGTGAGACATTTTTGACCTCGAGGACCTGCTGACCTTCAGCTACAAAGGTCTCCAGAACGTTATCTGATCTAGAACATTCTCTTTTCTGAAGACAACGCCGACGCCACCGAACGCCACAGCTTCCTGGGCTTCGCCTCCTTCCTGGCCCAGCTGGGCCCTCATCCCTTCCTGCCGGAGCTTCTGGGTGTGGTTTCCCTGCGAGCTCCTCTGGTGACGGTGGTGGAGGAGCTGGAGAACAGAGACCTGCTCAGCTTCCTGTGGAGGTGCAGACAGGTGGGACGCTCGTCGCCCAGTCGACTCTGAGGTCAAGTCGTATAAAAACAACCTTGACCTTTGTCCTGTTGGGTTTTTTAGGAAAGTGTGGATCCTCCGTGTGAAATGACCGAGAGACTGATCTACACCATGGCCAAACAGGTGGCCTCCGCCCTGGTGAGTGTTACAGTCCGTGTCATCAATCTGACACAGAACCATATAAACAAAAGAACTTTCATCTAGTAATACTGACTATAATAATCAGAGATGTCCGACGATATCGGCCGACCGAGTATGAAATGACTTGCGGTGTTTAACTGGAAGCTGATGTGGGTGGAGCTTCCTCCCTGTGAATGGGTGACAAGCCTCGTCGTGGCAGAACAGGTCCGGCAGACTGGCTGACCCGCAGAGCCACCTCCAGGCAATATATCCACTAGGGGGCAGCACTGAGTTCAGTTTCTCCGATATCAGTTTCACGTAATGAAGCTGGAGTTTAGAAGTTGGAGACGAGGTCCAAACAGAGTGACACTGGTACCGACTGCAGTAACTAAATAAATGCAACGTGGAAGATGATTGGATGAGTGAAACACCAAGGCCAAATATGTGGAAGTTCGAGTGAAACACCAAGGCCAAATATGTGGTTTAAGTTTAAAATAAATAATTCCTCCAGTGGATTTCCGACCTGACTTTCAGACGTTTTTTGTCTTGTTCTGTTCTGTTCTGTCACAGGAGTTCCTTCACAGCAAAGACCTTCTTCATGGAAACATCCGCGCCCGCAGCGTTCTGGTCAGTAAGGAGCACACGGCCAAGCTGTGGGGTCTGCACGGGGTCTACACAAGGAAGAACCAGGGGGTCACCCAGGCCGAAGATCCGAGCATGAAGAAGTGGCAGGCACCAGAGGTGTTGGCCAGGAGGCCGGCCAATCAGAGCAGCGACATGTGAGTTGGTCGAGTCCCGGTCCTGGTCCTGGTCCTGGTCCTGGTCCTGGTCTGCTTCACTAGAAAACATTTGTTTATTGAAAAGTCATCATTATGGTCTGTGTTTGTGTCATTTCTAGTTGGTCGTTTGGTGTACTGCTGTATGAAATGGTGACACTGGGTAAGTGGGGGGGGCTCTGGGGACTGGGGTGGGGGGCGGGTCCAAGGGCGTAGTTAACACATACACATGCCTAAAGAAGTGAATGAAAGAATCCTCTACACGTTTGTTCTCCAGGTGAAGCTCCGTTTGCAGAAATCCATGTGAGTGAACTCCTACAGTTCCATCAACGAGGAAAAAATCTGAAAAAACATTCCAACTGTTCCAACACGCTGTAAGTCTCACACACACACACACACACACGGCCATGAAACCACTGGAATGTAGAACTTCTCCCGTCACTGGTTCCTCTGTTTCCTTCAGCTACTCCATCATCAAGAGCTGCTGCCAATGGAAGGAACAGGACCGACCCACCATGATCGACCTGGGCCGAAAACTCATCTCTGCCGAGAAAACCGCCTCCGATAAACTTCTGAAAGCATCGGGCATCGTGAACGTTGAGCGGTACCTGCAGGAGGCGGGATACGGGGAATCGAACAGCTACACTGTTTTCTGACGACCGTGAAGAAAATCAGTGAGAAAAAAAAATAAAACTGCACTTTTCTCAGAAGCCCCTGCACTTTGGTCGAAGTCGGTGATTTGTGTCTGAAAACTCGGGAAACCGACACTGCAGCTTTAAATGGTTGGGTTTTTCTCCTTTGAAAGGTTTGTGCAACAAAAAAAAAAAATTAAAAAAATGAAGGAAATATTTTATATAAATCAATATAACAATGTACATTTGTTGATTTAAAATTTGCAATCAATTTATATTCTTTTATTTTAATTTATACGACCTTGTTTACACATATGATGAAGTGATTCTAAACTTTAATGTTTACAACTGCTGTAAATATATGGTGTATTTTATATATGAAACATGAAGTAGACATCACATATATACATATATATGTATGTAAAATATATACTATTCTGTCACTTTATCAAATGAGTCAAACTGTTTACCTTTAAATGAACCGGTGGAATGTATTTTTTTCTTTTTTTTCAAGTGGAAGTAAAAAAAAAAAAGAATAAAAACATGGAGCTCCTGTGACAGGGATTATTTACTGGTTTTATTGCATACATACATAAAGACAGAGAACTTGGAGCGTTTAAGAGAACAGAGTGTGACGATTACCTACACTGGGTTTTATACAGGCTCCTAAAACTATACTGTTTCAATGAAAAAATAACTTTGATTGTAGTAAAAAAAAAAGGCAAGATAAAAATTAAAGTTGTAAAATGATCTAATTAAAATCCTAGGATTTTTTTTTTTGAATGTCGCTGCTCATAATGATAAAATGCTTAAAAACACTGAACAAACTAGTAACAAAATGAAAAAAAAAAAATGGGAGCGGCTGCTGCTGACGTTCTCGTCACCAAAGTTAAAGCACTGTTTGAAAGAAGGCAACGGTTCTGCTCATTTTAGAACCGACGGGTCGTTACTGCAGACACACACACCGACACACACACTTCTGTCTCCATGTTCATCGTTCATAACTCTGTGTGTGTGCGTGTGTGTATCTGTTGTGTTTCCTCCTGATGTCAGAGGACACAACAGAAGACACACGGTCCGTTTGTCCAGGACAGATGTCCCTCATTGTCCCCGGAAACCTCCGCCTCAAGTTGGATCTACCTGTGGACGACTACGTCACTCACGCAGGCTGTTGATGGAGGCACAGATCTTGAGTGCAGGACCCAGCTTGATGTTCATGGTGGAGATGAGGTGGTCCTCCCGCAGCAGCAGGAGCGCCTGTCCATCGATTTCCTGCGACAGGAACTGAGCAGCCAGTTCCTCGCAGCCTGGAGAGACAGAGAAGACGATGAAAAGAAGACCCGGCCTTGAGGACGGACCTGGAGGACACGTGGCGTGGGATCCAAGAGGAGGCGCCGCCGCTCCCCTTCTAAACACCAACCTTGGAGTGAAGAGATGAACCTGCAGACTTCGTCAACGCTCCACTGAGCAGGAGTGGCGGACAGGAAGTTGCCCCCCTGCAGAGGAAGACTACCAGGAGCCGAGCTGTCCGACTGAGGAGCGCTGTGCTCCGCTCTGGAGCAGGAGTGGGAGGAGCTTGGTGAAAGTGAAGGAGAATCGTCCTCCTCTTCTTCCTCGCCGTCGCTGGACACGTCATCCGACCGACTGGACTCAGAGTGACACTACAGACAAAAAAAAACAGAGAGATTTCCTGATGAAATGTTCTCATCTGATCCATTCCATTCCCCTTGGTACCACTAGAGGGACCCAGTACCATCCTGTGGTCCAGGCACCACGGTTTGAGAACTCTGTTCCCCTGGTGGCCTTACCTTGACTGGCGGGTGTCTGTTTGACATTTTATTGGAGGTGATATTAGAGCTGTTCCTCCGTGAGGGGCCTCTGCGCCTCCCGCTGCCCTCAGAGGAGGCTGAGGGCGGTGACGTGAGTCCGGCGCCGCTCCTCCCCCTGCTGGTCTTGAAGTGTTGGCTACAGCTGACATTATACCTGTGGACCAGAGGACAAAGGGTCAAAACAACGGCACAGCAGGTTTAATCGACAGCTTTGTCAGTCAATTACAGGGTGTGGTGAACGATGACGGGTTTAATAAGTTAATAACAGTTAATAACTGGAGTTGAACTCAAACAACAACAACTGATGAATGACTTGGATGCAAAAGGTTAAAAAAAAACAATATAAAATTAATTAATTAAATTAGTAGAGTATTTAACACTTCCTCCTGACACTTATTTTTATTACAATTGCTGCTAAAATTCTAGTTATTTTGTTGCAATATTTTGGTCGATGTTTACACGTCAACATTTCTGCAAAATATTTAATATTAACGTTGACTTAATATAAACCTAACATTCAATAAATACAAGTCGTTTGCTTTTTTTTAAAATATCATCGTCGTCACATGTGACACAGTTTTCTTTCTCATGGTGTCGAGGACAGAGCCGGACTCTCCTACCTCTTAGCACAAGTGTTTGAACAGAACCTCTTCGAGCCTCTGAACTGACTGGCTGGTGCCAGACTTCCACAGTATTCACACTTCAGCACTGAGGAGGTAGAGAGACAGAACAACATCATCAATCAATCAATCGTCATTTCATTCACTAATCAACTCGACCTCCTCGGACACTGAATCCGTTCCTTACATGGAGGTCCGTTTTCTGTGCGTCCCGCCAGAGCAAAGTCTCTGTCCTTGAGAAGTCCGGCCACCTGTCGTTTTCACAGTAAAGCAGGTCAGAAACGTGTGATGAGAAGAAGCACGGTATGTGTGGTTCAAGCTCTGGTTTGGTGTGTGTTTTGCGGCCGGCTGAACTCACAGGGAAAGGCTCCGCCCCCTCCTGGATAACAAAGCCCTCTATGAGGTGAGTGAGAACTTGAGGCTTGACCACAGCCTGAGGGACCGGCGCTCTGTCTTTGTCACCGTGACCGACTCTTGGCAGTGGCACAGGTAAGGTCAGAGTGGGGGGGGGCAGGAAGGCAGCGGCCGCGGGAAGAGCTACGGTGAACGAAGGAGTGAAACGAAGTCACGGGTTTGAAACTCATGGAACAGAATCAAAACCAACACTTGACGTCAGCTGAGCTGATCCAGGATTTGGTTCAGGAAAACAAATAAAGGAAGGGTTTACTCTAGTGGTTCTCAAACTATGGTACGTGTACCATTTATGGTACTGGGGCTCTCTCTTTTGTGGATATTTTTTGTGCTGCTTTAATTAAAAATAATGCACTTTAACTCTGAACATCTGGGTGAAAAACTTTAATTATTTCTGGAATTTAGAGGCAAATTACCTTGTTAAAAAAAAGTAGAACATAATAAAAAATAGTTGAATCATTTTATTAGGAATTGTATTATTCTTCATTTACTGGCCTAAAGTGTTTAGGGACCATAGTGAAGTTGACAAACCTGAGTCCTTGGTAGGAGCTGGTGATAAGGGAGGGGCCGCGTCCTTCATGGAGGCAGAGTCTGATGTTTCCGTGACCATCTCGTTTGGGGGGTCACAGTCGGATTTCCTTTTCAACGAGCCAATGACAGGCTTTGTTTGCTGCTAAATTGGAATGAGACACGGATTGGGTTAAAAATTGTGCTTGGACTTTCACCAGGACAGAGCGACTGTGGCCCAGTGTCAGACGCTTGGTCTTACCAAAGCGCTGCTGTTTGACGCCATGCTAACGTTGCCACTACATTCCTGAGAAGTGTTGCTCCGAGCCTGAGCCAGAGGCACCGCCTGAGCGTTTCCAGCTAAACCCTGCCTGGCTCCAACCAGCTGCACAGGGATGTGGGGAGGGTTGTGTGCCCCCGAGGCAGCCTGGCTGTTGCTGGGTGGGGCAGGGAGAATGGGAGGAGGGTGTCGAGGGGGTAACTGCACGGGCAGACGGTGTCCCTGAGCGGTCTTGGGCTGGATGGGAATTGGACCCTTATCTGTGGAGGAGTTGCTCTGTTGAAGCGGCTGCACCACCAGAGTCTGAGTGTTCACGTTGGTCTTTGGAGTCACTGAACCAATCGGGTAGCCCTGAGTGGAGGTAGGAACACTGGAGGTGGGCACCAAGATGACGGGGGCCGCAGAGGAGGACAGGAGGAGCTGGGAGAGAGGGAGGGCGGCGGAGGAGCTGGAGGACGGAGCTACCGAAGCGGCAGACGCAGCAGTCAAGCCCTGGTTCCCAGTTTTTACAGTCAAAGCGTTGGTGGGAGTCTGCTGAGGGAAACTGGGTTTGACCATCTGCTGCTGCTGCTGCTGCTGTGGCTGAACCTGCTGCTGATGCTGCTGCTGATGCTGCTGCGCTGTCTGAGAATAAGTCTGCTGCTGCTGCTGCTGACCAATAGGAAAGCTGGAAACATCTTTCCTGTCTGGCAGCTCAGATTTGACAGTAACTGCTCTGGGAGTGGAGCCACAGTGTAGAGCCAGGTTCTGTACCTGCAGCAGGAAGACGTCACAGCAATAAAATACTAGGACGATGAGAGACAGTGAGTGTAGATACAAGTGAGACTGATTTGAACGGTGTAACACCGTGCTCTTACCTGGTCCATGTCTGACTGTGCACCAGGTGTAGAAGCAACTTCATGCTGCTGCTGCTGCTGTTGTTGCTGCTGCTGCTGCTGAGGCTGTGTCTGGGCCACTGTTGCCACAGTAGCAGTTGCTGCACCACCAGGCATAAAGATGAGCTGAGAGGCGAGTGGAGCCCTGAGAGAGCGGTTGACCTGGAAAGACACAGTGAGTCAAGTAAGTAAATAGTAGGAGTGTGTATTGGCATGTACAGCATCTGTCGATACGATATGTATCACGATACGATATATTGGGAAATACTGCGGTACTACAGTATAAGTATATAGCGATATAGTTTCCCCCCCAGTGTCACTGTCGTCCCAGTGTGATCCTAGTCTGAGACTCTGAGCCCTTTATATCATGATGCTGTACTAGAATAATAATAATATAGAAAAATCAAATACCCTGGGTATCAACCAAAAGACAAACCTTAGCTTGTTTACTGTAGTTTACTGTAGAAATGCTCGAAACATAAAAGGTTCATTTGATTATTATGCAAAATATTCTTCTTTCCAAAAAAAGTACGCGGAAAATATTCTTTTTTTTTTTCTGTCATTGATATTTGATCCTCTAAACTCACCCTCAGAAACATCTGGCCCTGTCCGGCAGAGTTCCCGCCCAGCAACACTGACTGGTTGAGTGCTGGACTTGTTGCGGAGGTGGCAGGTCCGTGAGGACGAGGATTAGTCATGGTCCCGACTGCAGACGTGGTGCTGTGGTTGACCTAGAAGAAGAAAAAAAAGGAAATCCTCACTGCAGACGTGGTGCTGTGGTTGACCTAAAAGAAAAAAAAAATGAATGAGAAAAAGTTTAATCAGAGAGTGTTCTTCATGGAGAAACCGGAGTCAGATTTAGAAGAAGAGTAAAAAAACTAACTCACGGTCGTAGGTGACTGGGACATGCTGTTGCTCGGGGTACTGGACTGGCGGCTGGCTGCGAGTGTAGCCTGGTTTGAAGGGAGACGTGCAGTGGATGAATATGAAGCTTCTGTTGACCATGTTTATTTATCGGTGTTTCACAGTCATAACCACAGGTACCTGTTGAACTGCAGCCAGGTTGTGGAGCTGGGCACTGTTGATCTGCTGCTGCAGCATGAGCTGCTGGAAGTACTGGGCAGCGTGTGGCTGCCTCTGCAGTGCCTGAAGGGCCTTCACACGTACACAGACCCAGACACACAGTCATTAGAGCGAATCAAGTGGTGAGATTTATAAACATACATTTACACCAATCTGATCTGACAGTCTGTACACCATCATCACCAACTCTCACCTGAACAGCCTGCCTCTCGTACAGAGACATCTGAGATATCTGGGGCGTGCGAGAGTTCCCACTGGTCTGAGGGTTTCCATTGGTGGCGGTGCTGCTGTTTTGGTCTTCACCTCCGTCCATGTCTGCTGCTGCTGCTGCAGCAAACACATCCACACACAAAGGTATCGTTGATGTACAATATTACAAAAAAAAAAAAAAAGTGTGGCGACAGACAAACAGGCTGATTCATTTCCATTCATTCATTTTCTAAGTGAAAAAAGATGATGGACAGAATCATTTCCATTCATTCATTTTCTAAGTGGAAAAAGACGGATCGGTGATGGACAGTTCACCCGTCCATCCCTGGACAAACAACCATTCACGCGCACTGTGATACCTGTGGTTAATTTACATCAATTTAATCCCTAATCTGCATGTTCCGCCCCCCCCCCAAAGAGGTTAACAGAGGTGTAAAGACTGCCTCCTAGTCTTTCTTGAAAGGGCACTAAAATATTCCAGAATATAATCTATGGTTAGGAATTTCACAAAGAAGGAAATCGCCAATGAAAACAACAATTCCAGATTTTTTTTCTCCCAAATTTGACTTAGAATTTCCTCCACAAGCTCTCCAAAGACCAAACAATCTACATTAGAAATATTGGTTTAAATTAGTTATTCATTACTCATCGTCTGCAGTCAGTGGATATTTTTCCTTCCGTTGTATTTGACTTGTTTACATCTTTCTGTCTATACATCAGATGTCAGTGCTGATCAGAACAGCAGCAACTGTTTACATTTCGATTATGAAAAACCCATATGATTTAATGCCGTTTTGCGTCCAAATGTAAAACTCCATAGGAGTTTCGAAAATACTTTTTTTTCTTTAAAAAAAAAAAACATAAATAAAGAGAGTTGTCTGGTTAAAATCTGACACGCTCCGTGATTCACCGTCCACTTCGTGTACGTCTACACGGAGATGGAGGACGTTTTTCAGACGTTGTCACATAACGGTGAGAAACGTAACGGTGTTCTTTCTCCAACTGACCAGTTGCCAACATGATATATGCATGCGAAAGAAAGAACATGGAAGGGGGGCGGGGGTGGGGGGCTGGAAAATCACTTGTGAGGGACAGGGGCTGGACCGCGGTGGTAAAAACCACAACGGAATCTGCTGCTACTCTCACAACAAGCAGAGAACAGTTACGAACGGAAACATTATAAGTTTAAGCAGCTCTTCGGTGGCACACAGTGGCGTTTTCTGTTTTAAACAGCAGCGTTATTTAGTTAGTTCGGCTAACCCTCTAGCACTGCTACTTTACAGAAGGTACAGCAGCAACGTAACAATCGCATCGTCAATTAAAGCGACTTTAACTGACTACGGGCGGAGGAAAATCGTACCTACCTTGATACAGCAATTACGACTGTAAAAAAAAATCCAAGGAATTTAAGGTTCGGTCCAGTTTTCAGCAGCAGACAACGACTGCCCCCCTTTCCTTTTGCCTCCAACAAAACTCCGACCCCCGCGACACACTCTTATTCTGCCGCGGTATTTTCTGGCAGGTCAGAGGACTGAAAGTGCAATGCTGCCCTCCCCAGGTCACTAGTGCTTTTTTTAAAAAAAAAATTCTCCAAAACTTTTAAATTTAGTCATATAATTGTCCAGTACCATATTATTTACATAAGTATTAAGTATTACAGAAGTACTGCTAATTTACCCTGACAACATGACAGTCTTTTTGAATTATTTATTCTGAGTATGGTCTGAAACATCATCTCCTGCTTTTCCCTTTTCCCTCAACGGTTTACTATTTTTTTATAATCAGGAATATAATAGTATTAATAATATAATAAAAAACAGTATTGAAAGAGTATTAAAAGTAAACCTTAGTCCAAACTTCAATCCAGAGGTTGATTAAAAGGTGTCTTCAAAATAAAATACAGATTACAATGTTATTCTTAATTGTGTTTTTATTAAAGACCATGAAATGCACGAATGTGATTGCAATTTGGTGTGTGATGTGATTTCAAAACTACAACAAAAAAAATAGTTACAGGTTTCACATTATATTATAAAGCAATGAGGACAAAAACACAAGTGAATGGGTGAAAAACAAGGTAGAAAATCTGAAGGTGTCCAGAAGTGTAAGACTGACCACCACACTGTGATTTAGGATACTGTTCACTGAAACACGAACTGCCAACCAAGACAAAGTGCAAAAGACAAACTGATAAACATGATCCATGAATGTAACACAAAGACCTGCTTCACTGACATCTCCAGGTGTAGGCGTGATGTTACAAAACTCTGCTTTACTTTCTAATCGCCTTGTTTGACAATATCGACTTTATGAAGAAATATCTATAATATAACATATTCATAGATAGCTGTAGTCACTTAATCGAAAGCGTTTAGATTTGGTAAAACAGTAGTTTTTGACTAATGGTTTGGTGTAAGTGCCTGTGATTATGAACATATTTTGCAGTACATTTAATTTACTCTAATCTAAATACAGACCAATGTACAGATTATTCACGGAAACATTTTTCTGAGAAAAGCATCAAATCATCAACTGGCCTAAAATCAACGATCAGAAAGATGTAACACAGGAAATGTGACACATGGTTGATCTGTGTGATAGACAGATGAAGGACCGCGATGATTAGGCCTGACAAAAATAACCAGTTTATAGATGTTAGCACAAGTGCTTTCCGAAAAAATAAAGTGAGCGTTAAGTCTACTCCAGTCTGGAAATGCCAGACACCTCCAGTGATTTTCTTATCATATAAACCACTGTGCTCAGATATCAGTGATCGTCTTACAACTAACCAACTAAAGCCAGCAAGCAAAAGCACTTCTGTGTTTTTTAGAGCCTCCCACTGTCAGTGCACAACCAGGACATCAGGAAGAACAGGTTGCTGCGACACAATTAGCCAAGTAGAAATGAACAACTTTAAATAATTATAGAATATATCCTGAATTTATGTGCTCCATTGTGGTCAGGATTCAAAGTGAGCAATGTCAGACTCTCACTGTGGCATATGGAGCATTGGCCAACTTACGAGTTATAGACCAAAGGTCTTAGCATGAAATGTATGGAGTATAGTACACTCTGGTCTGTGAGTAACAATCCTTTCACACAAAGCGCAGGTCAACAGCAGTTGCTCAAGGCGCAAGTCTGAGAACTGGTTTTCAACGCAAACCAGACCATAATAAGGAACAGAAGCAGACACATGTCTAACAGCAATTTCATCTCATCTGTGAAAGAGTAAACTTCATCACATGGTGAAAGATTTTCATCCCATTTTTCTATCACATTGAGGTCACATGGGTAGCAAGTGGTCGTCTCTCTCCTCTGGCTCCTCCTCCACAGGTTCTGAGGGAAGTCCGGTGTAGGCTGAGGGTTCCTCTCGACTGCGTGACCGGCACACAAAGTCACACCCGTCCTGTAAAATATAATTTTTTTTTTAATATAGTGAACAAAATCTGAATGCATCTGCAGTAGTGTTTGGGTAATTTCCCTATAAATGTTGTCTAATTTTGAGGAAACAACCATTTTTTTCTAAGAAACTGAAAAGTAGTGTTTGGGTAATTTCCCTATAAATTTTGTCTAATTTTAAGGAAACAACCATTTCAAACTGAACAGGAAGTTATGAAACGTTTAAAAAAAACGGTGACGAAAGTTATGGATGCCTCAGTCAACTTAATAAAGACAAAGAAAATCTTGTAGGGACGCAGTCCAATCAGCGCCGAATTCGTCATTTTACGGGCGAGAGCCAATCAGAGCTTTGCTTGTTTCTAGGAGTACGGGATGATAACGGAGATCCAATCACCGTGACTGTATGTCGGTAAAAGAAGACCGTTTGAAGTCAGGAGCGGTAAATGTTCTGGTTAGCTTAAAATACAGCGGTAAAACTTTAACATCAGCGAAAACATGACACTCTCTTAACCTCAAACGACTATTTGAGACAAGAACATAACTAATTTGAGCTATTATTTGCAGACTTGTCGTCCTGGCGTTCGTGCTAAGGTAAGCAGACCGACGAAAAATAATTAAGCTAATCTGGCTAAGCTACGAAAGTCAAATTCGCCACCGCCTCTTTTCATCATTGTAATACTTTTACGTCTGTGTATGTTAATGAATAAAATATTATGGTATAATTAGACCGAAGGTAACCGTTAAATGTATTGTGTTTACAGATAATAAATTAATATTGTATATATTGATAGTGCTATTTTAGCAATTTTAACAACACAATGTTGAGCAATTTCCTATTACAAGGTTATAAAAATATTCTATAACAATGGTAATAACACATTCTAGTCCAGCATTTAGTCTACAAACAATTTGAATTTAATTAAAACAATTCTCATGACTAAATTTGGACTAAGATGAATATTAAATTTAGTCAAATGACAAAATGCTTGTCAAAATTAACAGAGATCATCCACCAAGTGGCTCGGCCTCACCGCAGACAGGTTCCCAACCTCCACCCAGAAGTTGTGGTTGGGAAATTGTTCAACTCCTTTGGCTCCAACGATCAGCCGCTGATACAGGAATCCTCCAACAAGGTAAATAGCCAGAAAACAAATCATGCTGCAAGAGCAAAAGTAGGCGATTAGTGATATTTTTCTTGTCTTAAATCTTTGCGCATTGAGCATGTTTGGGTCTTTGCAGAATTTGTTTACACACATGATGAGTAATATGGAGCCTGTGCTGAGCCCGGACGGAAGAGCTGGGCAAATAGAGCTCGACTCCAACTTAAAAAGGTAAAAACAGTCCTGTTGCCTCTCCCTTTCCTCCAGAAGCACCTCCAGCTGGCCCTGGGAGTGGAAATAAATACATTCATTTTAGGACACATCAAAATACTGTATGCAAAATCGAAAAATGTGACAAAAGCATATCTGGAGGGACACATGCCTGGGTTACTACACCCACGGAGTTTAAATAGTTCACAAGTAGGTTTGAATCCAAACTATTACATATATTTGATCCAATAATTCATCTTTTTGTTACCACTTTGTCCCTGTTGCATGAGATCATCACAAACGCTCTTCGGTTCTCCTTGGAACAGTGAGAATCATATGCTTCGCCATTTTGGTAGATCAACATCATCAAGTCATCTGAAAAAAAAAGACTGTCACTTGACTAAAGAATCATATACAATATTTAGCAGAAATAGGTGAGGGATCATTATGTACATTAATCAATAAAACCGTTTGTAATCCCAGTTTGCTGAAACGCACAGAGGTTTACGCCGCACAGACTTACCTCCTCCGAAGGCTTGTGTTGCGTTGTACATGCCGATCACAGTCGTCTTCTTGGCATCGCCCTTGCTGTCCACTTGAATAATCCCTGCACCTGGAACACCTCCTGCATCCCCACACAACTGAAACACATATGTGTAGCTTTCCCCTGCAGTGGTGTTCACAACGCTGAAGCTGTCGACATAACAAGTTCTCTGTAAATGCTCGTTTACTCATCCAACCGCTGCGCTCTTACATCACATAGTTGACCCAGAATGTGCAGGGAGTTTACTTACTTTTTACCTACGAGTGGCTCTAGTTGTTTGAGGATTTTCCAGTCTGATTTTGACTCGTAGAGGAGTTTGCAGTTGTTGATGCCCTCAGCACAGATGACATTTTTAAACAGAAGCAGCTGTAGCATCAGAGTCCACAGCAGCAGGGACTTGTCACAGGAACAGCAGAACAACTGGAAAAAATCACAATGGTTAAAAAAAAAAAAAAAAAAGTTCTCCAGGTGATCAGCTTAAAAAAAAAAAAAAAAAAGAGTTCTCCAGGTGATCAGCTCATAGGCAGCAAAAGGCAACCCTAAATACTTCTAAATGACTGAAATACTGCAAAAGAAAGATCAATGGCATCCACAGCTAGCTGCCTAAAAGCACAAATATATTTAGTATTTTGTACAATGTCTTTGTTAATCTGCTTTATTGATTTGCAGGCATCTATGGCTCAATAACACACTGAACAAAGTTGTGTTTACACAGTTCTAACCTAACTCCACATACCTGATTTGTCCTACTTGGTATGTGCATGCAAAAAACTGCATTGGAAACTTAAATAAATACAAGTAAATATTCCTGAATAACTACATTAAAAAAACCAAACGTTCAGAAAGTCCTAAAACAATCAGTCCCTAAATAAATTACTGATGTTAATGTGCATTGTAAGTAAAGCGAAAACGATTTTTAAAATGGTGTCTCCAAAACTAAATAAAAAGAGAAGCATAATATATATATATTTTTTTCTTTTGTACCAGAACAGTACAAACTAGGTTAGGGGAAACTATTTGCATTTACCTTCATCACTTCTTTCTTCGTGGATGAGTAGAAACAGCTTTGTGTTTCTCACACACACACGCACTGACAGAAAAGTTACAGCTCTAGAAGACGATGCAGTCAGTCCTCCTGTGTTGATGTTGCTTCCTGGTTGACTTTGTCATGAAAAAGGCCGCAGTAATATGTTTTTAAAAAATCAGTAAACGAATCCGAATGTTTTAGATGCAAGCGTCGATATAACAACGTTATTTCTCCGGAACAATTAACTTGCTTTTCCACAGTAAATGTGTCAGAGAAGAGTATAAACAGCTAAAAGGCTACACAGAAATGCGTAATGCGGAAGTGGAACAAAACTAACGCAACCGCGCGCTCTGACGCATGCTCGTACGCTTACGTCATGTGACACGTAATGACCAATGATCACGAGTTACAGTTGAATTGCCTTAGTGCTGCACAGTTTACGTTGTTGTGGGTTGTGGATTAATTTACGTTTCATATATATATAATGTGTGTGTGTGTATATATAATGTGAAAATATATATAATTTTCTACATTATAGTATTTGTAAGTCGTGCGATGCAGATCGTATTTCGATCTTAACCACTTTTCGTCTTCAACGTCACTCAGTGGAACCCCCCAAACTGATGGGAATAACATCTATAAATTATCTTATTTAGATAGGTATATGTTCCAAAATAGTAGGTGCTCCTCTATAAGGAACATCATGGCTTAAAAGATAGAAGAAAGCAGTTCTGTCAAAATTAAATTTAAACAAACTTACAAACACCACTGGCTATACCTTTTCCAGAATCTAATTATTATCAAGGCCTAAATGGACATGGGAAAAACGTTTATAAACGTTAATAAAACTTCTGACTTTTTAGGATCCCCTGTATTATCTTAATTGGCCACTAAGGTTCGCTAACTCGCGTCGAAAACTTTTATCGTTACTGTTGATGGTGGAAAAACAAATATTTTTTTGTAGAAGTATAACGTTTGAGAATCACCACATATAATTGTGCAGTAGGTGGATGTGATCTTGTGATTATTCTTGGTCATATTGTGATGAAGGGTTTCATGCATCAACACCAGAACTCTACGCTCCTCTGTCTGGCCCTCAGTGTTTCATGATCATTACACCGTACTAGTAATTAAAACATGTCTGAATCTAGGAAGAGAGAATTATACCCTTAGGAGTCTATGTCTTCTTTTTCCACTGTGTGATGTTAGTTAGAGCAGAGGTATGAACAAAAGTGTAATCTTAAAATGTCAAAACATTGTTTTCTCTACTCTCTGGCAGACATACTGTCAGAGCCCATCATCACAGGGCTTAGCTGTCGTGGTGACTGGTCATCGTTGTTTTCTAAGTACAGTATTATCCCTGGATCCTGCTGACTCAGCGTTACCAGTAACCCATAACTGGTGGAACTATAATTTATTACGAGAAGAAGCACAGGCAAAGAGTAAATAACACAACAATGTCTGTGTCTTCTCTGTAAACAGTTCCATCTGACCTTCACTGTGTGTAAATGATTTAAGGTCCAGTATCATTTTAACCTTTAAATTCTCTGTAATCTGCTACAATCTATAGGTTTTTTCAAAAGATAGATTCTTATCAGCAAAGCAAATTTAAACTTCTAAAAACACAAAGTAGATAATCTATATTATCTATCTTATTAGTGGATATTACACCCTAACCCATTAATCTTACTCATTGTTACAACTTAGGTTGATGTTCTCATAGATTTTTCGACTTCAGCTAATAGATATTCATGGTAAATCCTGAGCCTTTGAAGATCTCAAAGTCACAGCCTTTTCAACACATGCTGCACATTTGCATCAGAAATTTGCTTACGCCTAATGGAACTAATTTTTATGCATAAAGATAAACAGAACAAAAAATTCCCTACAAAGCTAGACTGCTGTACTGTTTACAAGCCTTGCTAACACGGTGAAAAGTAAAGCTGCTTTATCACCCTTGTGGTAGATAGAAGAGCAGCTTGATCTTAAATAATATGTTTTGCTTCATGGTTAGCAGTTTGTGTTTGTCATGTTGACTAACGCTTTGCAGTTTGTCACGTAGAATAGAAACATCCAGCTCATGCCAAATATGTTTTCCCTCTCCTTATGTTGCTACTGAACTAACTGAATGTTAGGCATGTGTGAAAGTAGGGCTCAATGAAGTGTTTGCTTTTTTGAAAATGTCTGTTTTGTGTTTTCAAAAATATTCTCTAGAATAATCTGGGAGGTATTACATACTTTTGTAGCACGTAGAATATGTGGATTATGAAGACAGGATTTCCCAGCAATGCTTTGTGGTTTGTTGGAAATTTTGCACCATAGGTTAGGACAGTCAGTATCAAAAGTAACTTGTGTTAACTAAATATTGTCCCATTACCTTGGCACCGCTGTAATACCACCATCCTTTATGTGAGGACAATAATAGTAGTTGTGTTTACAACAGAGCGTTACGTTAATCTTCAGTGCTTCCTTGTTTTTTTTTCTTAATGTGAGAGAGACACTGGGGTAAAGAAAATTCAAAACAACAAAGCATAACATGAACAACCAACAAGTGAGTAAGAACAAATGAGCATCGACTGTAAGACTGTTTAAGTGCATGTGATTGTGGAAAACTGTAATCAGCACTGACCATACCTTATTTATGGTGACGGCCCAGACATTGTCTAATGTACCTTGTTTTTTTTCTCAGTCTGAAAAATGAACGTCCTCTGACTTTTCTATATAGATCACATCTGTCATGCAAGAAACTGTGTGAATAGGTGTTTAAACCATAGTTAGTCTCTATATAATTATTATTATATAATCTAATATATATATATTTATTTTTTGTTATATAATCCTCTCATACTCCTACATTTGTCCTGATATGTGACACATTTCTTTAACTTCTAAAAAAAATTCACATATTAATTGACAAAATGCAGTTGTTTTGTTGACCTTAATAATAGAAAGCCATGTATGAGTCTTAAAATAGTATTGAAGCCTGTTGTACGTTTGTGTGTATTTCCCATGAGTCTCAGGGTGGGGGCGCTTTGTTTCGGGAGTCATAAAATTCGGGACATTTCAGCAATGCTGTTACTGAGACACTGGCACACAGTCTCAAATGTAGAGTAAGGATTCTCCCTCCATTCCTGTAGGTGTCACTAGAGTCGGCCAACCCCCTCCCTCTCCAACCCACCGTCCTTCTCCTCCTCCCATCCACAAAACCTCCGCGAAAGGGTGTGCGCCTTTTGAAGGTTGCACGAAGCCAAACATAGCTTCAGACAAGCGCGCGTCCCACTTGGTTTCACAACCCGGGACAAGTCTGTGACCAGCAGCGAGGGAGATCACCTCCCTCTCCTCCTCCTTTCACCGCTCCCGACTAGACTCCTCTCCACTGGGGAAGAAGAAAGGATATGCCGCATATGCCCGGAGTCTGGCACTAAAAAGTTAAAGTGGAATGAGGTAGACGGGATGATAGGATGTGGCAGCTGCGTGGTTTCATCTCAAGGTCAGTGTCCGGGAGCTGGTGGATTTGTGGGACTGTGGGAGCGGAGGAGACGCTGCTGAGGGGATGGATGTCTCTGTGGTTTCACTGTCTCCAGCATCAACAGTGACACATTTCACCGACGAGGACGTTGACAGCCAGCGACACAGAAACGGAAGAACTTGTGAAAGACTGTTGTGAAGAAGCCGACCTGTGAAGGCTGTGTTTTACGGTCAGGTTGTAAAAGTCTGCTCTTCTTTATTTATCTCCTTGGCCGTTGTTGTCTTCCTTTATTGGCCTGTGACGGCGCGAACGTTCACCTGGCTACGAGCCCCAGTACCGAAAGCAGACAGACGGACCTGACCGCGGAAGATGTGGGTCTCGATTAAGGAGTGATCGTCGAACCGACCGTTAAAAGTCGACCTCTGGGCGTTAAGAAGTTTAATTAAAACTCGACTACAGTGAACTACGTTGGAGCAGTGAGGTTATGGTTTGAAGTGAACTTTCCTACCCCCGATAATCTTCGACTTTATTGATCAACAAAAATGCCTTCGAGGACAGCTTCGCCGTGCCGCACCGGCTTCGGGAGGAGTTTGCCGGAGCTGGGGCTGATCGTGCTCCTGGTGCTGCTGCTCCTACAGGGCTCCGTGCTTCCCCTCGGAGCAGCCAGCTCTCCGGATGTTGGTCACCAGGAAAACTCAGGCAGCCACAAAGAAGCGGACGTGGTGCATAACTCCACCAAGAAGGCTTTCCCTGTGCTCAGCGTTGACTACCATCACATACAGACGCCCTTCGAAATATCATTATGGGTTCTCCTGGCCTCTTTAATGAAATTAGGTGAGTACACTGCGGATGTCATGTGTGTCGGGGTAATGGTGACAGTCGCTTCACTTCTGCTCTTTCAGGAAATACTAGTCCGTGCTGGCGTCAGGTTCTGTGGCCTCGGTGACGGTTGTATTTCTTGTGTTTTGAGTCAGACTATCTAACAGTGTTTCTAGCATGCACAGATGCACCTTCAAAGGTTAACATATACAACAGGGTCGTCTTTCTGACTATGTGTAAAAATCACTTGTTGATAAGTTGCAGTTGTTTATCATTGAAAACCTAATGGTTAAGTCACATAACCACACAGAAAGAAAATCTCCAGAAAGGAAGAAAGCAAATCTTTAGATTACAGCCCTTGACAGTTCTATTGTTATATACGAAATTAAGTTACCAGTTGAAAGTAGTGTTTATAAACTTACATACAGTAAATATGGTATTTGTAATAGAAGAGTAGTGCATTAGGGATATGTTAATTTATTCTAATATCTGGAAGAGATGTCAAAATTGGTTCTACACACCAAGTTCTAATTGATTGAAACCTTTGATTTGACTTTGACTCGGGCCTCAGCAAGTTCTAATTGATTGAAACCTTTGATGACTCGGGCCTCAGGCATGTACGCATCAATATCCAACCCCACCTGTGACCCAGGATGTGGTCCAAGTTAGAGAAAAAGGACTTTCAAAACAACTTAAAAAATGTAGCCATAGTAATAACTTGCCCTGTCCCTCTTCATGTCCTTGGTCTGAGCTAAAATGATGCATTTACATGCAATTATTAATAATATTATTATTATACAAAACTGCAAACAGATTCTTCAGGAGAATTCCCTTCTTTGTAGAATTCTGGAGAATTCCTTTAACACCAGGTCACAACCTGCTTCTTTGTCTGGTTGACTAAATTCCAGTTCCTTTAATGTTCTTTGTTTTGAGAGAATAAAAACAGTTGATCATGCTAGACGACGCCTGTCGAGGAGCTTTAATCAATCAATTAACCATGTTTTCCATTTTAGTTTCATTCAAATTTTGATGAAAAATGCTCATAGTTCTTAGTCTTAGTTACAATCAGACACCTGTAGAAATAAATACAATTGTCTCCAAACAATTTGTCCAGCACCACCGTGCCTGGAACAGCCCAGCCAGGACGTACGTAACAGATGGAGACACTTAACTCTTAACTGCTGGTCACACATCAAATCCATCTGCTTTGTGGGTTCTCGTCATTGTGTCTTTTGCCAGGGTTGCACTTTTCTTCTTGCATCAGTGATGACTTAGCAACCTTGTCCAGCAGTGTGTATGCTGGAAAGCAACTTGCTGGCAAGTTTTCAACACAGATAAAATGTTCTGCAAGGTTGTTGCTTGCCTGCTGTGTTTCTGCTGTCCATTGTTAATGTTAAATACTAGTGTTTAGACATTTCAATTTCCTCTGATGCTTCATTGTGTTCTGCATCCTCACCCTGTTGTTGTTGTTGTTGTTGTTGTTGTTCCACTCCGTTGTACACTATTATCTTCTCTAGTTTATTTCTGTATACCAAATTGCTAACTTGCAAAACTACCAAAGAAGATATTGTTTTGGACACCCACACCTGCTGGGTTGAGCACCAGTCTGTAGTTAGGGAGAACAGCGCCTCACTCTTTGGCAAGGAGCCCTGTGTCCCTGTGGGAGAGGATAGGGAGGGAGAGAGAAATAGAAAAAGAAAAAGAGACAGGGTTTGGCTAGATTACTGTAAAGGTACAGAACAAGGAGGAAACGTGTAGTGCAAATAAGAGATGAGTACAATGGGAGTGAGTGATTGAATCTTCACGTTGTGTAAGGCAAAAAATGGTATGAGCCATCAGTAGCTGTTGACAGAGGTGACGTCATGCCCTGCCTCCACAAACACATCTCGGAGTTGAGCTTGAGGTGCTTTGTTTGATCAAAACTGTGTTCTGTAAATGACCACATGTACAATGGCTGGTTGCTAGATCAACAATAATTGAAAGGACACTATGATTCTAGACTCAATTTATATACAAATTGGCTCATGTTTAAGATTCTAATAAAGAGCTAAGGTTTTTCTTTCTTTTTTTTTTATCCCCTCCCAGAACTTAATTTGAAATAATCCTACACTGCAAATAAAACTAAAATAAAAATTCTACGTCAGTTAATCTACAAGTAACAAAGCATCACAGCTGATGTAAACGTTAGATCAAAATTTAAGGTGGTCATTAGAGATTACTTTATTAACCACCTTAAATATGTTACTATCTCTACCTAACCTCTTTCCTATATAAACAAGGCTCCATCAGTACTCATAAACTAATCTTATCAAACTAATCTTATCAAACATTTATCTTGAAATTATAGCAATGTTGAACTTTGGTTCTTGTCATGTCTAATTATAGAAAGGCCGTATTTGTGAGCACTTGAGGACGGTTGACACACCTTTGTACTAAACTTCAGGTGCAGTCACACTGCTGGTTTCCGGTGATCATATCCTTCCTTGGAACGTTTTTTCCAGTCCAGTTAGTCTAATTCTCCATTTATAATTCATAACTGGCCAAACCTTTTTTGGACAAGACATTTTTCCCCTAAAATATTTTTTTTTTTCTGAATACTACACAAATAATAGATTTGATCAGAGTGAATGTGGCTGTGGTTGGATTGGGAGTGGAACCTATAACCTTAAATGAAGTCTAGAGGAGGGTAGAAAGAAGAGAGACCGTCAACTGCACTAATTAGAATTTAAAAAACAATGCAATATACGAAGCACATCTGTTTAAATTGCGTGTAGATGTATATTACACCATTTTGTACTGTTGCACCATTTAGGTTTTATTTTCAGTGTTTACTTGAATGTCATGTCTGCCAGGATTTTTGTTTTATACTTTAAATCAAATTATCTTATTCATCAGTCCTACAAATATGTTTTTATTTTAAAAATAGTCAATTATCTGTCAAACAGTCAATGGTCAAATGTTTCTTTAGGTTCAATTTTTTTTAACATTACTTTTGGTATTCTAGAAAAATAATGCCAAGTAAAACCTGTAATTAAAGGTTTTTTTTTTTTCTGTTTCCCAGGAATTGACATTTTTGGAAAAACGTTATCCTCTCTGCACCACTAAGACAAAACCAGCAATAAATGGTTTCCATAGAGACCGGCCCATACAATGAAATGTCAATAATCTAGAGTAAACAATTGATAATAACTAATGCAACAGAGGGTCTGCCTCCACCACCAGGGTGACCTTTAATCATATTTATTATTCATCCTTCAACAGCGAGTGTCTCCTTGTACAGTAAGAGTCAGTCACATCTTTAATGAAGACGGTTGCTGATGTCTGACAATGTTTGCCGTTATTTTATTTATAAGACTTTTATTTTTATTATCAATAAATGTAGTAAATATACTCCTTGTTTTTAGAGTCAGAGAATAATTGCACGTCACTGTAAGTACATTGTGGGAAACGTTCCAGGTTCACCACAAGAAACCAAACCTTAGAAACAAAGTCAAAGCTATACATAGATTAACTGGAGCGCTGACATTTAATGTCAAAGAATAAAAAATTAACATCTTCTTAAGCTTCAGAGTCACTTCCTTGCATTGAGAAGCTTACTTTATATTTTATTGCTTCCACATCTCTGTGAAGGCCCTGAGTCATTCAGGTCAACGTGTCCGAGGATCGTAGTTCACCTTGAGGTTTTTTTTCCCCCTGGAGCCGTCGAAGGTATCATGAAAATGAAGTAGTTTCGTGGTTATCAATTCTATGCATGTATCCACGGGTCTGAAAGCAATATTCCTTCCTTCAGGCAACGCATTCTTGGGACATTTTAGTCATTTACCTAATTGCAATGATGTCAATCCTACTTCCGTTTATTCTCTAAATGTGTCCTCTTCAGTTGATCAATAACCTCCTCCTGTTATCATATACTGTGAGCAATCTCTTATCAGTCACAGTTGGGCCCACCATAAAGATTTATTGAATAAATGCCAGCGACTCAGTTAGACTCCACCCACTGGTATAAAAACTTAGTGGAAAAAAGGCATATTTTGATTTATTGTTTGTTAGACAGATACAGACTGTGAGACATCTTGTTAATCATCACCGTTTGGAAAGACAGCAACTAGTGCACTCTGCTGCTGCTGCTTCTTACTTACTAGCTAGTAGCTAGTAAGCTAACTAAGGACTAAGTCCTAGCTTAATATTTTTGTGTGTATTGGTCCTTGCTTTATGAAACTAACCCTACATTTAATTTATATTCACCTTAGGTAAAAGTCTACCACTGGTGTTGACCTCACCACTGCCACCAACACGCCATGGAAACACGCCCCTTGCTGGTTATTGACTTTGTAAAGCAACACTATCTCTGTGCAGATGTAGCATTGGGAATCATACTGCAATACCGTATTAATTATTTAAACAGTGTTAGTCTTGCATAAGCAACCTGAGGAGCACAATGGTCAACATCACACAATTAAAAAAACTGGGACTCACGGCTCATCTATTTCACTGAACTTTCTGTCAAAAACAAACATTGCTGCATTTATCAGAAACAAGCTTAGCTGTGACTGTTACCTTTACGTATGAGTGCCTTTCACACTTTATGTTAAAATGGAAGTTGTATTACTTCCTCTTATGGGTTAAAGAGATGCACAAATTAAAAATGAATCTTTTGTGCTCACTTGAATGCATGGGCAGCCATGCATTATTGGTTACCTGACAACAGGATACAAAAACTCGGCTTTGGAAACTATAAACACGTGACTGGTACCGGGCTGTGCTGGTGGTTGTGTACTTCTTCACAACTGTCAAAGAGCTGTTCCTCTTTACTGGTTGTGGGAGAACCTCATTGCACAAATGTTTTCTGCAGGGAGTGTGGCAACTGTACGACAACTGTCAATATTGACAAGAAACCCAGATTGATGATTCATGTCACTTGTCAACACTCAACATTTATCTTGTTTATCTCTATACATTGTGTCTTGACAGCACTTGGAATGGGGGCCTTGAGTGACTCTTTTGAATTCCCCCTT